AAACACAAATCATAATACAATATAGGTGACCAGTGAGGTTCAAGTTAACTTAAAACAATTTATATGTTTTTTACCTATAAATATATAATGTATGCTACTTATATTGACAGATATAAGTAGCATGTAGCATCAATCAGAAATGGGATACATGCAAGGAAAATGAGATCTAATTGTATGTATTCAGTATATATCTATACATATGTTATATGTAAATTATGACATCAAATAGAAAATTTATGATTTATCATATATCTTAAACCTCTGATAACAATATAACCATTGTTATGCTGATTTAGATTTGGTCATCTCTAATGAATGTTATCTACGCATATACAAAAAAAAGGTATTACATAATAGATTATTATTATATTTGTGGGTGTTTTTCTTTCTTTTTTTTATGAAAAATAAAACAACACAACATAAACTTTAATAATAATAATAATAAAATAGCTTTGAAAGTGTATAGAAACAGATACATCTTATGCATATCTATTTACATTGGTGAGATACACTGAAAGACTGACCAATTTAAGTGATCATACAATTCAAGTTAGTGATGATCAACAAATAAGTGAATGAATATATACGCATGCATATATCTGTCTATATATATATATATATATATATATATATATATATCGATGAATCTAGATATCCCATAGGATATAAATATATAAATTTGGTTAGTAAATATATAGAATATCTATTTATTCATCAAAAGTATCCTAAGAACCAAAACGAAAAAAAAACCCCAGCGGAAAACAGGTGTTTTCGTAGTGATTATACAACTGAGAAAACATGTTAACCATGTATTATACATATGTAATGTAGAGAAGGGAATAGAGCGCTGACACGAAAGAGAGATGTGGGCGAACGATAAGAACTAAAGATGAGATTGCTTCAAGCGAAATTATTAAAATTCAGTAAAATAATCAAAACTCGAGTTGTTATTGTTGTTGTTGTTTCAGAGCCATATTTATTCGTTAGATTTAGTGTGACAAGTTTTGAGAGATTTTGAACTTATGTGGTGTTGACTAGATTGTCACTTACAAAAAAGCGATATCGATACTACAGCTTGTCAATGGATAATAGTCACCATGTAGAATTCTGAATTTAAAGGTATTTATAAAATATCACTGACATGGACTGAACTGAACTGGTCATCGTTTCTCACTAGAACTTCAGGAGTTACGATTTATACCGACGAACGAAAATACAATTTCATGTAGAATAACCAATATACATTTGTGAAACAATTCAAGTGGCTGAAGCACTTCAGTTTAAATACCTAATTACTGTATCCATTCAATAGTAAGTGGGATGAAAAAGAAGCCGATATCAATATCACAGATGTATTCATTCCATATCCTCCCTTAAATTTATAGTTTCAAAAATAAGTCATACATTTTATTTTCTAAACTTTTGTCTCCTTTGTGAACCATGCTTTCCATATTTAGATTGTTTGTACTACTATAGACATTAAAATCACTTCGATCGTTTTGCTATACGTCTAGATAGGTGCTTCTCACACTGTGATTATGTAGCCTGGTAGCATGGGTTTTTGAGTTGACAATGTGTTGGTTAGCTGACTTACTCAATGTAGAGAATCATATAACTACCCAGTTTCTTTCCAATCAAACGATTTAATAATGTTAGACTATGATTAGTAATGGAATCCAGTAAGAGTGTTTCATCGTATTCGCCACTCGTCAATTGGATATTTCTGAGTCAACAGTGTTGATGTAAAGGCTGAGATTCAATCACAGTACCTCCTACATTGAAAATCCAAGTGTTGTCCAAAAAGCTACAAAGTACAAATAGATACTACTATATTCAATGGCTATAAAATTATTTGTAGGGATTCCTATTTTCTTGCTGTTGATGTTAAACACCACAATCAACCAGTCTTTATTGGTTTATGTACATCTTGAACAAGTTGTCTCAATACTGTCATTTAAACACAAGTTTTAGTAAAACTTCACAAATAAATAAAATCGATCAATGTCAACAACAATGAATTACTTTATAATTTAAAGCTAAGTTGAATGTTCAATCTATAAGAGCTAAGAAGACGATTCATAAATGTTTAACTTTTAATTAGTCAGAAAACACTAACAAAACTGTATATTCTTTGATCTTCTATTAGTAAATTTTAAAGTCATCTTTCAGTCAGTCAGTCAGTCAGTTACAGCGTAGGACTAGGCACATATATGCATCGGTCCAAGTTCCCATACCTCATTCGCACAACAAGATGAACACCGGATTCATAGTAGTTAATTCAGTGGTGGTAATATATAAAAGAAAGATGGCATATAAGGACATAGTACAGGAAGAAAGAATCAGTTGGTATAAAGAAAGATATGAAGTGATTTTAATCTCATAGTTTAAGGGAAGACAGAGAGTTTATGCACCTACCCCATTGTGATCGATTATGAGCCATGTCACTCAGAGCCTCCAACCATTGGTTACGATAGTCACGCAGATCCCAACCAAGTAGTCTGCAACTACTAACGTGGCTCAGACTGGAAGTTGATGACTTCAAGCACTGATGCCACGTTTTGGTTTGGTCGCCCCTAACTTTCTTCCAACCATCCCCAACACGAGTTAACATTGTTAAGAAAGTCATCTTTATTATTTAAAATTTTAAAAACATCACCACCATTGTCTACTACCACGAGCTCAGTTTATTCTAAGATTTAAAAGCATATCGAAAATGAATATATATAAATCGTTCATTATCCTTTAAATTCCTAAAACATTAAACCTTTTTCATTAAGTACACTGTAAGCATACAAACTACTCGATAAGCTTATAGTTCAATGATAAATATAAATAACTAAACAACAGCAAACTTTATCACCCAAATACATGAACCTCATCGATATAATGACAAGGGAATATTTAAGTTAATAATCATGTTGTTTGAAAATATCTGACCTTTTTGTTTACAACAATCAAGGTAAATATTAGTAGTCATGTTTATTTTGACAGTCATTTTTGTGGACATGATATTAATTTAAAAGTAACCGGGAAAACAGGTTAGCAAACGAGTGATAGATAGAGAGATAGAGGGAGAATGGCTAAGCAAAGAAATGAATTTTGTTCTATGATTTCATTATTGAAAAACTATACGATCGTATATACATATAGAACAAATGAACAACAGTATAGAAAGTTTGGTTCTTATTATGTGATTGAAAACGGAATTATTCAAAAGTTAGACAAGTAAGTTCTCAGGGATACCAATTGAATTCAGTTAAAGATTTATAATTATGATAATAAGTTATTCAGGAAAATAATAATAAATTTGATTAGACATGACTAACAAATAAAATTAAATCACTTTAGGATGTACGAGGTTAACAAACTGGGAGAAAGATATAAAACGATGGTAAATTGCAGAATAAGATGTTATAATCATTGTACGGTAATGCCCTGTTACGGCTAAGAGTGGTGAGAGTCATTTTTCCTTCTCGAAAAGCTCTCACATGGCCACGTGCATATAACCACTACTAGGGAAGTCCTCCTAAATGACCGGGGTGTGGGTTACGAAATTGAGAGGACGAAAAGCAAATGTCCGATGTTTTAACCGGGTTGGTGGATATGGAGGATTCACCTAGGGGAAGTTGGAAAACCCTGATTCCAAACCAATGGTGCACATGGGCTCCAGGATCCTAAGGGAACAAATGCCGTATGAACCAATTGTTGATCACCGGCTACCAAGGAACTGCATCTACTGACATTGCTCCACTGTCTTGTGGATTATACCTTTAGGTCAAATGCTCCATGTGTGGCCACCTGCTTCGGTTTGGACACCCGAGCAGTATCCCAGTCCTCACACAAATCGAATGGTTTATGTGGCTATTTAACTATGTGGTTATCTATTTGATGCCTTCTTGTACTAATATTTATGTGTTTAAATGAACAAAAAACATTTAATGTACATACATACTTGAAAATTTCACGTTTTTTGTACGAAAAAGCCTTTTAGTACTAAGAGAAAATCTGTGTCACATTTTGTAAATCTCTACTAAACTTGTAAATAAAATTGAATCAGTTTATTCCAATCGAATGATCAAGGTTTCCCTATTGTTTATTGAGTTTTTAATATACAATTAACCCCACTTCTTTTTTATTATAAAACATAGTGTTTACGAATTCTTCATCAATTAATTACTCCTGTTACCCCTCGTGGAGCATCGGTCGCCGATTAAGAATCTTCAATCAACTCTGTTCTGAACCCTCTATTCAAGTTGTTTCCGATTACCATTCATTCCTTTGATGTGTGCTTCAACTCCCCTGAGCAATATGTTCTTTTTTCTTTCTCCTTCACTTTTGTCTTAAGGATTCCAAGTTAGTTAAAATAAATCATAAAACAATAGATATCTCTTCATTTATTCATTCTCATTATATTCAGATCAACACTAAGTTATATATATCATGTCTATCTCTATTTCTCAACGTAATGTGTTCTTTGGTCTTCCTCTCCTACTTTGCCCTTCAGGATTCCATGTGAGGGCTTGTCTTGTGACGCAGTTGGGTGCTTTCCTCAATGTGTGTCCTATCCACTTCCAGTGCTTCTTCTTAATTCCTTCCTCCACTGGGATCTGGTTTGCTCTTTCCCACAGTTGGTTGTTGCTAATAGTGTCTTGCCAACGGATCCGAAGTATTTTGCATAGACAACTGTTAATAAACACCTGTATATTCTGGATGATGGCTTTCGTAGTTCTCCAGGTTTCCACCCCATGTATTAGAACTGTCTTGACATTCGTATTGAAAATCCTCACTTTGGTGTTGCTTGACAGTTGCTTTGAGTCCCCAATGTTCTTCAGTTGTAAATATGCTGCTCTTGCTTTACCGATCCGCCTGGAGTCCCTCCGGGGGCTACTGCCGGTCCCAAGGAGGGTTGGGCATGGTGTTAGCGACCCCATCCCGTAGAAAACTAACTTGTTAAAAAAACGCCAACCAGAAAAAAAATTATTATATATCACAATGATTACCATTAATTCCTTCATTTTTAAATGCATTTAAAGCTTCAGTATACTCCATTTTTGCCAATTCTGAATTCATGGAATATTGACTAGCTCGTATTACATTAGATCTGTCAGCGTATAAAGCGGATAATCCAGGTAGTCGATATATAGCATCAATCATTTTCACTGAAACACCAATAGCTATTTAAATTAAATAAAGTTAGCAACAACAAAAAATACTTTCGAATAAATGGTAATAGAAGAATAATGCAACACGTTTGGAAAGTAAAACACTTCAGCAAATGTAAACATTTCTTTTCTATTCTAATATATCACTATTAGTATAGGATTGAATTATCGCGCTGTTAATAATCAGGAAAGCATTTCGATCAGTATTTCATGGCATATTAAGATTTAGTCTTGAATATCAATAATGAGATAATAAAAATATAACCCTTACATCCATGGAACAAGTTAATGGTTATTTGAACTCCATAGCTTAGAGGAATATGTGTTGGTGTTCGAAGTAAAAGGTATTGGATTCAAGCTCTAATGAGAATATCAACACAGAGATGCAGGTAAATTCAGCTGACTGGCTCTAAATTGAAAGAAAAGCACTTCCTAGGTTCCGTTGATATATACAACTCATTTGTAAGTTATATTCGACACGAACTGATATCACTTGAGATGCTTTTAAAACCATAGAATGCATAATTCCAATGAATATGCTTCGAATTTCAATTGAGTACAACCATATTGGAATAGTCGAATAATTAGTATTGTTAATCTTTATTGAAAAAAAGTATATATATATATATAACTAATTCACGAAATCGAGCCACCGTCCACCATTGTCTTCAATGAGTTACTATCTCACAACAGACCTGGTTGAACTCCACTGGGCACGGTTTCTCACTAGAACTTCAGAAAATACCTCTTGAAGCCAATTACTAGTGAGCATAAGATGGTTATAATCAGAGGGCGGTTTTGCCGATATTATAGTAATTTAATAATTGAATTCATGAGTCAATTGAAACTAGACCACGACCGTCCAGTGCTTCTAGGTTTTCCATGATGGTCCAGCTTCAATTGGCGCATGAATTCAACTATTGAAATTACTATAATATCCACAAAACCCCTCTCCCAACTTTATTATGTTTGGAAGCTTTCATTTGTTCATTCTTTCATAAAATATATAATTTCATATAATGAAGTGTATACTGGCCAAAAATTAGGAACATAGTTTTCAGTACTCTTTAACTAATGTTAGTTCATAACAGAAACTGTTTTCAAAATGATCAAATCATTACGATCATCTATTTAAATTACAAAATGTGATACCTTTTTATAATTCTAATCAAAATGATGATTACGTCAATAGGTTGTTTCACCGATTTCTTAACCCTATTGATAACAATCAAAGGATTACATCATAAACTCTCATGTTTAGGTTAGATGGTGGTTGGAGGTAGTTGACAGGAAACCGTGGACCCGGGTTTCGTGCTACTTAGTACTCGTCAACAAGGTGTACCTGTAATCTTGAGGGAACTTGGTGCTCCCCGACGGATTCGATCCCGTGTCATTAAGCCTCACAGTCAGAGACGTTACCACTGAGCCATACGGGCCTGAGATGTAATCATAATTGATTGATCACTGGGTGGTGATGAATGTCATGTGTGCCAAGTCCTTATTAGTACAGATCGAATACTATCGACCAAGTTGCAATGTCTTAAGTAAAATTGAATTATTAAGATTTAGATTAATATCTTCAATCAAAATAGATAATCACTGATGTCATAAATTAACTGATGATAAAAAAATGTTTATCATTTGGATTACAACTTTATGATTCTCAATATGATTAGATGATACTATCACTGATTAAATAGCTAGATATTTCAAAAGTATTTATGTCAGTGATTTATCAAAATATAATCATATCAATATCGCATAATAAACATCTATTGTATATCATTTATGAATAGTTCTCTTATTGACTATAACACATCACAATAGTTGAAATCATGAGTCAATTGAAGCTAGACCACCATGGAACACCTGGAAGCAGTGGACGGCCGTTTCGTTCGAGTATGGGACACCGTCTAATAATAATCATCTGCTCACTAATGACTGACTTCAAGAGGCATTTCCTGGAGTTCTAGTGAGAAGCCGTTACCAGTGGAATTCAACCAGGTCTCTTGTGAGATATCAACTCACTGAAAACAATAGTGGACGGTGGCGCAGCTTCGTGGATTAGTTGAAGTTAGACATTAACACCGTTGGATGCTGGCAGGCTCAGTGGTCTAATGGTTAAGCCCTCGTGCGCAAGACTGATAGGTCCTGGGTTCGAATTTCGCGGGGAGCAGGATCGTGGATGCGCACTGATAAGAAGTCCCATACTAGGACGAAACGACCGTCCAGTGCTCCCAGATTTCCCATGGTGGTCTAGCTTCAAATGACTCATGATCTCAACAATTGAAATCAATTATTGTCAATTATTACGTAAGTCAATGATAAGAAAAGTGAATGGTGAATAGAATAGATTAGATTGTGAACATAAAAAAAATAATAATAATAACGTTTATTACTATAATTGATTCTATACAAGTGGATAACTAACTATATACATAGATCTTTATAAATAACTCAAGTGTAAAATAGTAATAATAGTAAATAATTAACTCATTTTAAGCAAACATAATAGAAATATTCTTAATAATGAAGTAATGAAATTGAATAACAAAAGTAATTACAAGTAATTACAGATAACTAACAACAAAAAGAAGGAAGGTAATAATAATTCACATATTGAATAATAATAATAATACTGTTGTGTCAACGAAACTATTTATCAGATTTATATACAGAAATGAAATGATCGACAATTAAATTTCTATATTCTAAACAATTACTAATAGAAGTGAATCTATTTTACCGAAGAAGAAGAAGAAGAAGAAGAAGAAGAAGGTGAAGGAGAAGGTGGTGGTGGTGGTGGTGAAGGAGGAGGAGGTGGAGAGGAAGGCGGAGAAGGAGAAGTAATTCACTTAGTATGTATATATGAATGTACAGTTTAAGTAAATGATTTCATTGAAAAGAAAAACATTTTCTTCGCTGAATTCTCTTATTCTTATTCAATAACACTATGGATCATTTATGATCAGTTTATAAACTGTTTTAAATGCTTGTTTTAAAGGTGTTCTTTTCTTTTCAACAACAAAACGAGTATGAAAATCTATTTTTTTAAAAAACTATCTTAATCGTTTAACGATCCCCATTATATTAAAAGATTAATATATTACAACAGTTGACATCATGAGTCAATTGAAGCTAGACCACCATGGAAAACCTGGAAACACTGGACGGCCGTTTCGTCCTATTGTATAATATATTGAACAAAAAATATACTTTCCAACAAATTCTCTTCAGTTTCCTACAATTCAATATATTCAAATTAATCACCCGAAAAATGATCAGGTTAAGGGTAAAGTACATCGTTTAAAGCATGTGAATTTAGGTTTGTCTAACAAACTTGAATAAAATTATTAATGTTGATATGATTCATATGGAATGTTCACTTGAATCAGCTTATATGTTAAATGAAAATGTTAAGATCAGTATAGTGGTTGTGGAGATTGTTAAGTTTTTGATTGAGATCATGAACCGATTGATGTTAGACTAAGCGTTAAGTTGAGCGTTCGCGCGCGAGACTGAAGGCCCTGGGTTCGAATCCCGCGAGCGGGATCGTGGATGCACACTGATGAGGAGCCCCACAATAGCACGAAACGGCTGTCCAGTGCTTCCAGGTTTGCACTGGTGGTCTAACATCAATCGGTTCATGATCTCAGTCGAAAATGTTAAGATCCTTGATCGGAATAAATATGGATCAGATAGGGTGAGAGAAATAATAGTGCAATTACAAATTCTATCAAAGGTTCAATGGAAAGCCGTAATGTGTAAAAATTTTATATGACATTAGTAAAAAGTAACAAAATGGGATGAAAGCAAAATAAATGGATGGTACATTCCGGAGATTAATGATGATGTTTAGTTATTAATAACAATAATAATAATAATAAATACGAACTTTCGTCTAAATTTGATCGAACAGTTTCACAGTATTTGAGCGTCGAGTTAGTCTGAGACATTAAAGAGGAAGAATGTATTTGTAAAATCCCAGAGAAACAATGTGAGACTTTACAAATACATTCTTCCTCTTTAATGATAATAGTAACACAAAGATTTGTGAATAAAGATAACAGAGACAATTACATTTGAGTACGAAAGGTTGTAAGTACAATAGTCAAATAAGGTTATTCAATAGCTAAGATTGCTATTGATTAATTGGCCTTGAGGTTGACCAGAGAAGGAGGTGTGGTTGAAGATATATTTTTCTGTACGTATAGCATATATACAGATTCAAGTTAAAATTCCATATGAATCATATCAACATGAACAATCTTATTCTATTTTGTTTAACAATTCTAGATTCTCAGTTTAGAGGTTGTGGAGATTGTTAAGTTTTTTCACATTGGAATAATAAACCGATTGATGTTAGACCATCGTTGGAAACCTAGAGCATTGGACGGCCGTTTCGTCCTATTCTCAGACTCTTCAGCAGTGCGCATCCACGATCCCGCTCCCCGCGAGATTCGAACACAGGGCCTTCAGTCTTGCGCGCAAACGCTTAACCTACTGGACCACTGAACCGGCATCCAATGGTGTTAATGTCTAACATCAACCAATCCACGAAGTTGCGCGACCATCTTCCATTGTACTGAAGTAGACACCTGTTTCTACCCGACACGGATTAGCTCCACTGGTCACGGCTTCTCACCAGAACAGGTCACTATCAAAGAAAGAACAAGGTGCATGCTTCATCCAAAACCTAAAAGATATGAAAACGATTGTGTCACATCCCACTGTGTTTACTAATTCTAAATTCACATGATTTAAACAATGTACTTTACCCTTAACATGGTCATTTTTCAGATTATTAATTTGGATACATGAATTGTAAAACCTGAATAGAATTTATCTAAAAAAAATTTTCGTTCAAATATTAGTCTTTTAAAAATTTTTCAATAGTTGAGGTCATGAGTTAATTAAAGCTAAACCACCATGAGAAACCTGGAAACGCTCGCCCGCGAGACCGATAGATCCAAGATTCGAATCTCTCGAAGCCGGATCATGAATACGCACTT